ACCGCAATTCTGCATCACGACAAACCCGCTCTATCCATAGGTACTTCACCAGTCATTGTAAACCGGAGGATAACTGCAGGCCGTCAATGTATCATGACGTCAACAAATAATTTTAGTGCATGTTTCAATTACGCCTTGATAAAGTAAGCATTTCCTGCACAAAATGTCCATGCAGTGAATATCAGCACGAGCTGAAATACTTTCCTAGTGATAGAAACGCTGAGTGATTGTCACTAATGTCTTCACTTTCGCTCATTAGCTTACATTTTGATAAAAATTTAATTGGTGGTTTTACGTCAAGTGATTAGCGTATCTTTAGCAACTATTATTGCCTTCCATTCTGTGAATTCTACATTAGGCTCGTCTTAGGGAGGTTTCTTACATAGCTTTCTCCGAAATATTGCTTCCTTTCCAAAGGTATAATTTAAAGCTGTGATCGGCACCAGGTTTTCGAATGATGCATCGTTGCAGTTGAATTTTTCCGGATTAGTTTGCGTCTGGATGTATTGAGTTCGGTGCGTGAACACCTACTTATTCAACATCGGGAGAAATTTACCCAATTCTATTTTGCCATACCCGTTGAGTCGGCGAATCGCGTGCAAAATGAAAAAATAATTCTAGATCTTATTTCGGCCACACAATTCTGAACCTCCTATATACAGACACGTTATTCTGAGCCTTATAAAGAATGCCTGATTCTGAAGCTACTACAGACCACATAATTCTGAACGTTTTACTGCATGATTGCAAAAGCTGGATCTCCTGCTAATATCATATCATAATATCCTCTACGTGAAGAACACAACATTCTGAACTTCCTGTTCTGAATACAGAGGCGCGTTTTCGTAGCCTGCATGAACACGAAGCAATGTATTGTACAGCATGAATTCAGCCACACACACGCGCAGCATGAGCGTGACGCACACGCGCAGCATGAGCGTGACACGCGCGCGCAGCATGAGCGTGACACGCGCAGCATGAGCGTGACACACGCGCAGCATGAGCGTGACACACACGCGCAGCATGAGCGTAACACACGCGCAGCATGAGCGTAACACACGCGCGCAGCATGAGCGTGACACACACGCGCAGCATGAGCGTGACACACACGTGCAGCATGAGCGTGACACGTGCGCAGCATGAGCGTGACACACACGCGCAGCATGAGCGTGACACACACGCGCAGCATGAGCGTGACACACACGCGCAGCATGAGCGTGACACACACGCGCAGCATGAGCGTGACAC